TTTGGAATTTTGGAATGGGATAGCTTACCATACACTGAATATAAACTTGAAATTAGCGCTAAATTGAAGAAAAAAACCATTCTAGTTTCATCCACAATTTCTCAGAGTCGCTGCAGTCACACAAATGGCACCTATTGATGCTCGGAGCATGGTTCCATGTTTTGACGAGCCCGAATTCAAAGCCACATGGAATGTTACGGTCATCCATCCCAAGGGAACAAAGGCTATTTCAAATGGCATAGAGGAGAACGAGTAAGCACTGCTTAATTAAAACCCGCCTTTTATAATGCACTAAATTAGGCCTGCTACACCTTTCCTTATATGTACATATCCAAAATTGCAAAATTCAACCAGTTATTGTCCCATGGAAGCGGTCAATTTAGCTCTTAGCAATTGTGTGTATTATTATACAGTGCAACACATAAGTTTGGATACTTTGCAGTATGAGTGGGGTTTCAAAAGCTATCTTATGCGTAAAAGTAAATCGTCAATTAATTGCTATAATATCTTCCAAAAAGATTATTTGCTAGGTTGAACAGAAACATACTTATAAATAAACAAAAAAGTTTGATATCTCTAATGTTCAGTTTCTCTACAGTTCATACAAACGATAGTGCGTGCTTGCTTTTTTTAACGACTAGTAATCTCTTTTAGAAGATGCTTCACCAGACGTAGAGGATATATAGTGTCGTTTGGTTTTCCTAATACAACTCAATAATTCTTGATGACTTTATGAATGAATTTTCACAAGTCGTCCTAGCGTGAATATCGCCTTAATTGGATTTAAAGTTTTGGATTACCGCTTATGTCTGCTCACATATAATACATAGTGCAAATAGCAACGATATTTTGCTGATTATCGAATAGCATCAATATAGCAAAACATTCATGTCTCTCGACTTTGATAGGTGTTTTTTTTTGCTCAGGCAAAAAATATGGTGTTGAAGCACCTCGGCGTCATAAGAAATCATAGTGAACGAGTGTACTGTAGGACTACATGTTTCTCTCATTTTTTTGCAACTCCAATCAGTCAGGGGCCATTTTGAGGATGTCTTGAAGGAATTATAAAGTTTCTTGTGACCTTGAACATCTCGTTGAGAGAAATTTTTCTGCTGTTAGCTCAAGGTTGTCCTTTCAATCAAAGATGTTGCACGACAATCACCGTATCTTGATAAAACTCCCTGGTAAGTCATATATACTACCTAGGAAGGTTGTTATATTGGAGATTCATGTTTATATTTAAGACCTATTTGTGTTGACCTTATCCGCTAAATCTTACTAAGCTACTGG